CCGCGGGAGGAGGACCGGGCGGAGGAGGTACCCGCCCTCCCGGGAAACCCTCCCGGTTCGGGTGGTGGTGAGCCCCAAAAAAGGAGACCCTTCCCGTGCCCCCCCCATCCCATCCCAAAGGGTTCCCAAATCCCCTTCCCTGGCGGTTACGTCAGCCCCCATCGCGTGAACTCTGTTACGATATTAAGCGACATGTTACGCCGCCGTGTAAGCAGTTAGTGGAATTTTACTGGGGACTCTGGTATTGTTCATGCTTAAGTAAATCAAACCAAAGGACAGCCCGGCCCCGGAAAGAAGGACTTGGGAAGCTCAGAGCTCTCCCTGAAGGATAAAGGATGCCCCAGGACAACCACAGTAACACCAGCATCAGGGCCCTCTGACCCGTCTGGGAAACCCGGACTGCCTCGAGACTGACTCCGGGGATCGACGGACAAACAGCGAGACCGCTGCAGAAATCGAGCGGCTTTGCAGAGTTTCGCCGTGATTAGCAATTGCGCCTGTGGGTGTTCGCAATTAGTCGAGTCATGTTGTACCTGGCTGCTTGAAGGGTTGTGAGAACCCCCTGTAAAACCGCATTTGGGTGCCCCGATTTGGCTGTGACGCCTCATACGCATGAAGAAATATTTACTCGTGTAATTCCCTGCTGTGCATCCCAGCCTCTCGCCCCAGTCAGCACGGGCCAGGCACGAATTTTCATGCCACACAGGGTGCTGGGGTCTCCCTCCTGAGCGAAGCAAGACGTTTGCTGGCCTCAAGTCCGCATGTTCGACGTTGGAGACGTGAGAAGCTCCGTGGATATAAACGGGGATTTTCCCCATGCTGAGTGCTTTCCTGCGCTGGAGCCAAAGAACTCTGCACCGCTTGATCCATGCCAAGTGATGCAGACAGCCCCAAAGAAATGGGTCTCTGATGGTCACCGCCAGGAGGGTTGTGATGCTGCCTGTGTGGGGCTGCTCTTGGGTTTTGCCCCAGATCCCTTGGAAAGGGTGTAAGAGTATCACTACTTGGGGAGCAGCAGGGCAAAACTGCTGTCCCTACGAGCACACCCATCCCAGTTTGCAATCTGGGCCCGCGTGGGTACTACTGGGTGCTGCATCCCCACTGGTTCCCCCCTTCCCTGCCCCACAGTGATGGCTGAAGCCGCCGTCCCTTGAAGCTGGGTGGGCATCAGGCTCCAGTGTAAAGGCACACTCAGGCCAGGCTGATTCAGAACCAGACCCCTTTTTTTCAGGCAGACATGTGGCTGCACATCCTCAGAGGGCATCGCACCCTGACGCCGTCAGCCCATCCCTGTTGTGCCCCCGAAAAGCACTGTGCCCCTCTTGGGTGGGTGCAGGCAGGAGCAGGGATGGGGAGACACAAGCTCATCACCCTTGGGATGGAGCTCATCACCCTCGGGATCCCGTGGAAGGCTGGTGTGGCTGTTTCTCTGCAGGAAAACGGGATGAGTTGTTTGTGCCTGACCGGTTTTGGCTGTGGGGCAGCATGGAGCTGCCCACGGTGGGAGGCAGCCGGCAGGGCTGGGGCTGCACCACAGAGCTGAGCATGGGTGCCGAGGGCAGAGCTCTGGCTTGGTGAATAACTGACTCCTCAGCATGGAGGCAGGTCGGGGGAAAGGAAGAAAATATATTTTGGATTGCCCAAAACTAAAATTAAGAAGGTGACTAATATTTTTCGGCAAAATGGAGAACAAATCCTGAAGAAGGATAGGTTGAGCAGGCAGCATCGCTGGCCGCACCTGCCGCCACCGGCTTCGTCATCAAGCTCATCGTCCATCTGCTCGGAAAGCTTCACTCTCCTCTGCTGTGTTCCCGGTGTCCTTGAGAGCCAGATGGGCTGGCCACTGGTGACAGAGATCCTGCAGGCTGGGAGGGTAAATGGCCGATAGCGTTAGGTTGGCTGAACCATGGGATGTGGGGGGCCGAGCTGCGGGGGAGACGCGTGATGTGGAGGAGGGAACGGGCCTCTGGATTTGGCCACCGCAGGTGAGCACTCTGATGCCAGCAGAAGCCTCATGCAGGTGGTGCAGATTTCGGCAGCTCCTCGGGAGAAACGCGGGGCTTTTTGCGGGTAACTGGGACTTGGGGGCTGCCGAAAAGACATGGGACCCAGAGGGGTTTGTTCATACGGAAGCAGCTGGCGCCTGAGGCTGGGGGGGCACTGGCATTGCTCCAGCATTAGCAGGTCCAGGGAGGTGTCCCCAAAGCCACCGCCTGGGCTGGAGGCAGATCCTCCACACTTGCTGAGCAACACCCCAACGCCAGAGCCGCTGATGGCCAGGTTGGGAGGCTGGAGGCAGCAGTCACCCAACCGCTTCTGTTTGCAAAGTGCCTGGTTCGTTTGTCCTGGGTTCATTCACGAAGCAACGCTTGGGCTAGGAGCATCCCTGCGGCATGGGCAGGGACCCGGAGTGACACCCCGGGGTGGACACCTGGGCAACGAGAACGGGCACAGTGCCGACGGGCGAGCCGGGGGGAAACCAAAACGCTGCTCTAACCCCGCCGGCCTTTCCGCTCCCGCTCCTTATTTGTCTCTGAAGGGTATTTTGAAGCCCTTCAAGATGGCCTCAAGTGGTTTCCAAGGCGACAGTGCTAAAGTCATCACTGCCATGGAAACCCTCTCTTTGGCATAATATAAATATTTCCCTTGAAGGAGGCTGGATGAGTGGGCGATGTGCTATTTTCTAGCACTCCCTGGCTGCAACAGGACAATCTCCAGG